TGAGATATTAAAGAGAGAAGTGAGCGGAGACACACAGGAACCTCATACCCCCAAGAAAGCAGTGCCCGGGAGCAGAGTGCGTCCTTTGGACCTGAGGTTCCTGTGCGGAGATACTCCCAGACCAAAGGAAGATTGATGACATAGACCTTCCTCCAGAGCTGACGGAGAAAGCATTCCCCTGAAACTGACGCCTTGAATTTGGACTTGTAGCCTACTGGATTGTGAGAGAATGGCCTTCTCTTTGTTGAAGCCATCCACTTGTGGTATTTCTGTTGGAGCAGCACTAGATGACTAAGACAGTGTCACAGGTGTGCTAAGAGACATGGTCAAGAATGTTTATAGCAGCATTATTTGCAATAGCCAAAAACTGGAAGCAAACCAAGCATCCATCCATAACAGAATGGAAGTTGTAGTATTTCTGTGCAATGGAATACTATATGGCAATGAAAATAATAAACTATAGCTATAGGTCAAGAAATCAAGCAATGTGTTGCATCAGGCAATTCTGCCACAAAAGATCTCTTTAAAGTGTTAAAAAACAAAGATGTCACTTTTATGACTAAGATGTGCCTGACATATGTCATAGTCTTTTCCATCACCTCATAAGCATGCAAAAGTTGGATAATGAAAAAGGAAGACAGAAGAAGTATTGATGCATTCGAACTGTGATGTTGGTGAAGAATATTAAGTATACTATGAACTACCAGAAGAAGGAACAAATCAGTCTTAGAAGAAAGATAATGCCCTTAGAAACAAGGATGGCAAGACCTTGGTTCACTTACTTTGGACACATCATCAGGAAAGACCAATTGCTAGAGAAGGACATCACGTTTGGTAAAGGAGAGAGTCAGTGAAAACAAGGGAAAACCTCGAGAGATGGGTTGACAAATATCTGCATCAATGAACTCAAACATACCAACAATCATGAGGACGGTGCAGGGCTGGGCAATGTTTCCTTCTGTTACACACAAGATTGTCATGAGTCAGAGCTGACTGCACAGCAACTAACAACAATATGCAATGACATAGATGAATCTCAGAAACATAATTTTGAGCCAAATAGCTAGATGCAAAAATATAATGTATGTTTCCACTTAACCTCTAATCATTTTTTATGACCTTTAGAATAAAACCCAAAGCCTTTTCCATGGCTTCCACAAGGCCACATGTCTCCTTGCTTTTCCTCGATAACACAACATCTTGGGGCTGTGCACTTGCTCTTCCCTAATTCTGGAACACTCTTCCACTAGAGAGTCAAGTACCTGGCTTCTTTCATGTTGGATGAATTGATTCACTTGTGTTTATGTACATTTCAAGCCAAAAAAAAAACCAAAAAGAACTCCATAAACTTGCATTCAAATTTTTACTCCTTATCCTCATCTAGCTCGATGTTTTTGATAACGTTTTGATTACACAGGTTTTACATATTTTTCTAGAAAATTGAGTAAGTGAAGATGAGTGTTAGTGGCTCTGCAAGTAGTTTCTGCCTCCTGGGATTACAACCATTAGGAGAAAAACCCTGTGCCCTGGGCCTTATCAGGCTCAGACTAGGACTGAGGTTCACACACAGGAGCTCATCCTTGAAAGAACCAGAGCGAAGTGAGGTGGGAGCAGGAGAACCCACCAATCAAAATCCCACCAGATGAGCTGGCCACTAAGCAGCAGTAGCTAAACCTTGCAAAGGGCTGACTGTCTGCTGGCATGGTTTAAGCACGTTACACAGGTTAACATATTTACTGATTACAACTACCTAATGAGGTATGGAAGGAGCCCTGGTGGCGCAATGGTTAAGCACTCGGCTGGGAACTGAAAGGCCCGTGGCTGGAACCCACCATCTGCTACGAGGGATAAAAGGCCTGGTGACATGCTCCCATAAAGATTACAGCCTAGGAAACCCTATGGGAGCAGTTCTACTCTGTCATCTAAGGTCCACATGAGTCAGAATCGACTTGATGGCACACAACAACAACAATGAGGTACAGATGAGGAAACTGAGGTTGACAGAGCTTCAGTTCACACAGCTAGTGAATAGTAGAGCTAGGATTTCAGTCAGCTTGGCCCTAGAGTTGACACATGATTAATTCTCAGAAGGAACCAAGAGGAGGATGCAGGCTTGGAGGTGGAACTGGGAAGTCCCAAGTTAGTGGAAATGAGGTGACTAGGGAGCGCAATTACTGGGAAAAGGCACAGATGGAGCAGCAGCTCCCCCTGCAGTTAATATGGAGTATACTTAGCAGCATACTTCATTTTCTTGGAGAGCCTCTTAGGCAGACAGGGGCATTTGGTTCACCTTCTCTGGTCATCTCTGTGTTGAAGAAACCCAGGGCATTTGTGCAGACTGAGTGAGGGTAGAGTGAAGGTATCTGCATATAAAGTAGCATCCCAGATGACTATAAGCAAGTGCTTCTCAGAATTCATAAGACATCCTGAAAACATTGAAGCCTTTAAGAGTTAAAAGAATAAAATTCTAATGGTAGAATTTCAGATTCGAGGCCAACAGCATGGAAACTATATGGGGAAAAAGGGAACCTATGCAGCACTCAGGCCAGGTCTGTGGACAACTGCCCGCACCTACTGCTGAGCCCAGTTCTGTGCATGTGTAGGCAGCATTGCAATTCCCTTGGCCCAGAAGGAGGGAACCATCTCTTCTGACATTCTTTTCCTTTCTCCATCCCTTTCCTCTTTTTCCTTGTCCCTTTCCTTTGTTCTTTCTTCCCTAAACATCGATGGAGCATCTTCTGGGTTCCAGAAGGCACCAGGCCTGAGGGAAGTGAAGACAAACACATGACCCTGGGCTGTGCTGGGGTGAAACCGAGGGGCAGAGGACTTGGAGCCCTGTGAAAGCTCTGCATTGTGCCTGCCCCTGGATCACATGATGAATCCAGAAAAGACAATTGTTTGTTAACCACAACCAGCATTTTAGCCCTGGCTACTGCCTACCAAGAAATAGAAAGGGATTGCTCCTAGGTAGAGAACCTGGCTTGCTTTGAAAAAAATGGATTCATCTGATTGCTAAATTGTATTATTTTCTCAGCTGTACACTTATCAGGAAGAAATAAGGGCATTTCCCCTTTATCATCTCAAGGGTGGATTTGTGTTTCCAACATGTGGGATTCCTTTGCTCTGAGAGAGAATTAGGTGACTTTTTTTTTTTTTCCCGCAGAAGACTATCCCCAAAGCTAACCTGGAGATATATTTGTGTTTGGCCCATACTCTGTTTTAAATGGAATCAATTGCAAAGTTAAAAATGTTGAATATTATCATAAAAATTAGAGTTTCAGGCTCTTTTTGGGAATTCTGGCAAAGCTGGGCCGGTGTTTTCAAGGGAAGCCACTGGCTAAAGCTGAATAGAGACCTTCTATCTCCACTCAGCCACAGTCTCCATCACTCTTTACTGATTCCTGATATCGACTCCAAGCACAGTTGCCATCTATCACCTTCTTCTTGATCTGCTTCAAACACTTACATTACTTGCATTTCTAGTTCAAAAGGAGGTGGGCTCCAAGTGGAAGGGAAGTTGGTTTAGCAAGGGTCAGAGAGGTGGATGGTGATGGGGTCCTGTGAGTGACCTTGCACCATCAGGTGACAGGTCTTCTAACAGCGCTTGGCTGTGTGGATGTCTCAAAAGCCCTGACAGGGATGGACACAGAGGGAAGGATGGCTGAAGGCAGTGGAGCTCTCTCATCAGATTTAAACACAGGGGCTTGGACTGTGAGCATCTTGAGGGCAACCTTGACAGACTGAAAAGCAGAGGTCCTTCCTCTATGTTTCTGAATTGTTAAGCTCTGATTTTTATTTTGGAGAACAGAAGGGAGAAGGTTGGTGGGGGTCCTGGAAGAATGATTTAGTGGATGGGGGTTTACCTGAAATAGTTTCAATTAGAAAAATAAATGTTACATTTCTTGTACCTGAATGTTATCTCAAACGGTTTAATTAATATGAAGTAGTCACAACCTCCTTGTGTGATGGGAATTTGCCTTTTAAATCTAGTATTAACTATAAAAACCTCTCACAATACGTTTCCTTATTATCTGGCTATAAAATTTCATTAATTCACTCATCTAGCCATTCATCAGATATTGGAGAACTCACTATATTCCTAGTGCAGGGTTGTGCATGATGAACAAGATGTAGCCCCAAGTTCTTCCAGTTCTTGGTAGTGACCTAGGTGGGAGGTAGGGAACTGTAGTGGAAAGGACGTTGACTGGGAATAGGAAGTTTGGAGTTTTAATTCCATTTATATTCTTCAATTGCTGGACAATTTTATGCCAACCACTTAACATTTCTGGGCTTCACTTTCTTCATTTGTAAAATCTTTAATTTCCTAGAATGCTTTGCTGAAGAAAAGAGGCATACACAATTGGGTGGAAATGCAGGGTTTCTTATACAGGAAGGCACAGCTAGTTCCTTTATTAGGCTTTGGTTTCTCTTCATGTATCTGATTTCCAAAAATGAGAGTGCAAATATATTCTATTTTCCTCCAATGGGTTTATGCACCTAAATTTGGTATATAAGAAGCAAAATTTTAAAAAAGTGTTTGCAGTTTCAGCTGTTGGAAGAGGAGAAGGCCAGTAGTTTTCTGTTAAAAGCAGATGGTTTTACTGTCTCTGAGTCTAGGATTTACTATGGAAACACAAAGGCGAATTGAGGACCTTAGAAAAGAAAAGACTCCTAAGAACATTATGCAGCTGTGGTAGTGGGTTTATTATATCTATATACAAGTAAGCATTTATTGATGTTTGTCAAAAATAAAGGACAAGGTAACAAAACTCACTTAGCAGGAAAACAAGATAGCTGCGATAGAATAATACTGAACTTAGAGGCTAAAAGGAACACAGAACCTGAAATGGCAGCTTTCAGGTCCTCTAGTTAGGCAGACAATCAAGGGAAAAATACACTGCAAGCAACACAAGACAACCAAACACAGTCAATGAGATAGTCTCTCATAGGGGGATAAAGGAAGGCTTGCTGGGGGCTGGGGTCACTGAGGATAAAGGATACTAAAATCTCATAAACCCTCCATATCGTTTTTCCATTTCGGGAACTTCTTTTGAATAACTCTTGCTTTCTTCGTCAGAGGGCAGAGAATCTGCAAAGCGCTTCAGGAAGCCCCCGTACCTTTTCTGGTAGTCCATCCACCACTCAGGGCGGCCCACCCTTCTCATGAAGCCGCCATATCGCTTCTGCAGCTCTTTGGCCTCGTCTTCCAGTTGGGGGCTTCTTTTTAGGCCTCTCATGAAGCCCCCGTATCTCTTGCTCACTTCTTTGTCATTGTCACTGCCCTCGTGGTGGGGGCCACCCTCTCCTCTGTCCCCTGTTCCCAGCAGCTCTCTCAGCAGATCCGAGGAGTTGGCCAAGGTGTCCTCCTCGGCATCCTTCTTCATGAAGCCCCCATATCTCTTGGCAAGGGTTTCCCCTTCATTTGCCGCTTCCTCAGGCTCCAAGGGATAAAACTCATCCATTTTCTTCATGAAGCCTCCATACCTCTTCATGAAACCCCCATACTTCTTGGCTAGCAAATGGCTCTCCTCCTGTTTGCCATTCTCTTGGAGGGTGTTGGTGCCATCTTGAGAAAGCTCCAGCTTGGACAGCTGCAGCAGCTCCTTGCAGGCTTCCCAGGTTTTCAAAGAAGGCAGTTTTCCTTCACATTCCAGTGTGCAAGCCTGGAAAAGAATTCACTGATTAAAAAGTGGTTTCTCTGATTTCATTAAGTAAGCACGGTTTTTGTGGACCTCATTATGCTCAAATTGATATGAACCCTCCCATATAACAAAGTCATCTTGGTATTCTTATCGCACTTTCTCATCACACTAGACAGGCAAATGAAATAAATAAAAACTGAAAGGGAGAAAGAGGGAGACTAATTGAATCAAATTAGAAATTTGTCTCTGAATTTTAACAGATCCAATACTTTGAAAGATTTTTTCCACCCAGTTTTAACCTAGGCTGGCTGCCCTCACAATCTAATTTCACTGGAAAATTTTTCACTGCTTATTTCATTTTGCCTGGGATTTTTATAACCATAAGGGAGAAATTTCTCTTTACCTAATTAGAATCATTTCCTGTAAAATTCTTTTTACCTTCTTAGCTTACAGATGAAATCAATATTAATAATATAAAGTTTGTTTGTTTCCTTGTATTAATGTTTTACCTGGAACAGTATACAATATTCCTGCTATCCTTTTAATCTTTAAAGAAAACAACAATTTCAAAATGAGTATGGAAAGACAGCCTAAGAATTCAATTTACATCCTATATATTATTTGGACTATGATACATTGATTTGCTGAAAGTAGAGATGTTTTGATTTTCCTTTTTCCTTGATTGATTAAAACAGACAACAGATTTTTACCATCCTGAATCACATGATTATAATAATGAGGTGTGATATGAGGTTATATATATGCAAATGTTCAAATTATTCACATTTCTTTTCTTAACACTTAGCCACTGGTGTGCAGACAAGTCTTTTCAAGTGAAAATCATGTTATTTGATAAAACACGAAGGCTCAGCATTAAATTATAATTATTATAAGAATTAGGCTATAAATGCTAATGATCTTGTTATGATTCCCTTCTACTCAACCGGTCACTTAGGTATGATAAAAATAGTACTAATATTGCATGAACATCTGCAAAATCTTTACAACATTTTAATAGCCCTCTCAAGCTATTTCTAGAACCTAGGTTGAGAATCCTTGATTCAGATAGAAAAATTAAGCATTTTCTTGATATTTTAAAATATATGGGTGTATTATTTGATATGAAATACACATATTTTCAAGATAAAAGAAACATTTTATTCTTGCAACAAAATTCTTTAGGGTACATATTTAAGCAGCTCTTAATGATTATTTAAACTTTGTCTAATAAAATTAAATATATGAGTATATTAAAAATCTAAATACAATCTAAATTAAAATGGTCCTGTTTTATTTTTGATAGCTGATCAGGAAATGAAAACATCATTAATATACTTAAGATGTTCAAGTGGCATTTCCATTTTAAAATGAAATTTAAATGATCTGTTTGCCAAAAATCAATTTTGAATATTTTATATACTTTTACCAAAACACTTTTTAATGTAGGTGATTTGGATTCTTTTAAAAACAGATAGTGACAAATAATCACAGTAACACACTCATATTAAAGAAGTGACATTAATTTAAACATTTCTATAGCCATGTGTGTCTCTATTACACCCTATGTTCTACAGTTATGATCACATTAAATGGTAAATTTCCCTTATTAGACAATAAATTGAATTTGGCAAGTCTGCTCATCTTTGCATCCTCCACAGTACCAAGCACAAGTGTCTCTTACAAGGCTGTAACTTAGCAAATATTTACTACCTTGCTTTTACTGCATATTTTTTTGACTAGGCAATCTCATTTCTCATATGTCTTTTGCATCCTAGCTAAAATTCCCGAAGTGCTGTACTTCTAGTAATGTAGCCATTAATAAAGCCTTTTGTCACTGAGAAAATAACCTTAAATGTAAACTCCAACACAAAAAAATTAGTTATGTTCAAAATGCCTTCTTAAGAGACTGCTATTTTTATTGATGATTCCTTATTACCTCTTTTTTATTTTTCTTCAAATTGCTTATGTTACATGGTGCCATACAGCATCTAGATAAAAACCATAATAAAAAGCTACAACAATAACAACATAAGAAGCAGTGAGGAGAATTTTGGAAAGAGCAGTTAATCCCCTTCCTGCTCCCTGCCCCCCCCAAAAAACTATATTAAATAATGAGAAGAGGGTTGAGACAAAGGAGAGAAATCACAATTTTTGGTAATATCCAGGGAAGGACTTTCTGCCACGAAATGAGTTTTGCTCAAATTCTCTCTGATGGGAGAATAAGATTAGTAGCATTTTGGGAACTTGGTGAAGAGAGCAGATTAAATATGAAAAAAATTGAACAAGCACTGTTAAATGTCAGTCATATTAACCAACTGAATCACACAATTTAAGTAAATCTCATACTAGTTTGAGGTCAGACGGTGTGATCTGAAAAATTAGACTAGGACCCAGCTAATCGCTATGTGAATGGCAGAGAAATCTAGAAGAGGAAGCTGCTCCCTGTGCAGTCTGGGAAAGCTCCAGGAGGGTGTGACTAGGCTGGGGTACTTGTGGTTCAGAAAGTGGGGTCTTCTGTGTGGTATCTTTTAGGCTTCTTTCTCTTCTTCTGTGTACACTATTCTTTACCTACAAGATCTGTCCTTATGTTTGTAGCCACTAGTCACTTTTTATGCAAAACTTAAAAGCTCTGGTCTACAGGAGAGAGAAGAAAGGTGGGCAAAGAGGACTATTTCCTGTATCTAAGTGGGATATGTTTCTCAGCTTAAATATGAAGCTGTACTATGTATCTTTTCTCTAAAACCAGGTTAGCAAACCTGAAATGAAATGGATCCAGGTTATTAAAATGAAACAAACATTCAATCTGGAATATCTGCCTTGAATTTTTTTGGAATCTTTTCCTTAATTTTCTTCTCCACTTAATGTATCTACATACATAACATTTCGTCAAAGGCTCAAGTGAGCCTAAATGCTTAGATTAATAAATTTCTCTATATTGAGCTTTCAAGTCATTGCAGAATTTCTTCAAATCATGAAGTCAGTGCAAAGGAATCATTTGGGGAATTAGTTAAAATGAAGATTCCTGGGCCCTGAATCGGGATACTCTGATTCAGCAGACAATGAGAGGACCTGATTCAAGAGTAAATGTACTATGGTTAGAATGAGAGTTCTCTTTCATCGGGTTTTTATCCTAAACGCTTTAGACTGTTGGCACCTCTTCAACTGGCCACAACTCCTCCTGTGCCTTTTTTTGTTTTTTTTCAATAGCAGAACTAAAACTATTGTTTTAGTAGGTATTACAAAAGTACAGTCACTTGCCTTTAAGACAACTGAGGATCTCTTTCTCTCTTGTCTCCTGCTCTCCCCCTTCCTCTCCCTTTATCCCTTTCCCATCCCTTTGCTCTTTCCTATCCACGGGTTAGGGTGAGGGCTTGAAGGACCTGGGATTATAGAGCTAGAGGAGGGAAATTTGAAGAAAGAAGACAATAAAAAATGGCAACATTGTTATTGCCACGTTTTTCGTGGGTGAGTGCGGGAAGGCTAGGAGGTTAGCGGTGTGGGAATGGGGCCCTTAGTAGAGGTGTGTTGGGAGCTGGATGTGACTGCGCATCTTTGGAGGCGCCCACCAAGTGCTCTCCGAGGTGCTGAAGAGAGCACGTCCCGGGGCGCCCGCATCCCCGGGGTTAAAACAAACATGGTTGGCGTCGATACACCGTCGCCCTGACCCTTTCCTAGATAGCCTCGGTTCCTGAAGCTGACAGCTAGGGCAGGATCTCGGTCAGCGTTCCGAGAACAGCCAGGACACCTGGGTCACTAAGGATTCGCATTACTGCGGCTTGCACCAGGTATGACCTCAAGACGCGCGGCGCAGCGGGCCAGGGAGTTGGCGGATTGGACACGACTCTTTCCACCAAAGTGCTGAGCACTCACCAGAGGGTTGATGTCGGCCGGGCGCGCCAGGCGGTAGCTGCACGACGCGCAGTCCTGACTGCATTCCGCCCGCACAGCCGCCAGGAGCCCAGAGCTGAGCGCCAGCAGCCAAGTGCAGAGTCTCAGGAGCCGCGCCATGAGCTGCGGGAGAGAGGGGCGCGCGCTCTAAACATGTCCGCCCGCAGAGTGGGCTCCTCGGAGAGCGTCCTCGGGGCAGAAGCCCCAGTTCGATGAGCGGAGTCCGCAGGGACTCTCCTTCCCGGGCCCCAGCCCACCCAGCCGACGGCGTTTCCGGAGGGTTCCTAACCGAGGGCCCGCAACTCAGCTCGCCTGGAGACTCGGGTTTGGCGCGGTCACCTCCCGCCCTGGGCTGCGCGGGTTCCTGAATCACCCTGCACTTTCCGGGCGTCCGCTGTCCGGGGCAGGATTCTGGAGGGAACGCCCGAGACCAAGTGAGACAGCGGGCGCCTGGGGTTAGCGCCCGCGCGCAGGAGGCGCGACATTGACCGAGGCCACAAACGGACTCGGAGAAAGTCGGAGAACCCCATGCAATGACATGCAGAGTAAAATTGAGCATGCGAGGCGTCCCCAATCATGAGAGCTTTGGTCAAGTTCACTCACGCTGACGCTCTTTGGATGCAGCAGGGCTGGTCGGTGACACCCGGTCCAGGGAACGATTCTGGAGGCGAGAGAAGAGTGCACGGGTGAGGGGGGCGCGCCGGGCAGAAGGCCGGGCGGCGGGCGGCGGGCGCGGGCCTCACCTGTACGCGGGGCGTTGTGGGGCCAGGCTCCGGGCGCTGCCTTGCTCGCTTGCCTCGCGGTCGCGGGCTGGCGACCGATGGGCCACTTTATAATTAGCCGCAAAACCGAAGGAGGCGGTGCTCCCCAATAGCTGGCGGGCTGCGGTGACGCAGGCCCTACGCCAGCCGACGCCGACGCCCTCGCGGAGGGGGCCCGCAGGCCGCGCTGTTCCCTGGCCTGCGCGGGGTGGGAGCGGCGCGGTGAGGCTCAGCTTGCGACAGGCTGCGGGCTTTCCTATGGTGAACCCACAGTCTTAAGATTTGGGGAGAGATGGAGGTGGGGTCCAGATCTGCCGCGTAGAGTCCCCGAAGGCACCGTGGGGGTGCGGGCTCCAGGGAGGGGACCCCAGGGGCTCCAGGGGTGGTAGGGGGACTGGCTCAGATTTCTGGAATGTGCTGGAGACCCTCAGCGCACGTGAATCTGCCCGATCCCGCTTGCTCCCGGTGCTCTCTTGCTGGTCCCCGTTGGGACCAAGTACAGCCGTCCGGAATGTCATCATGTATCCACTATCTGTTTCCCTCCCTTAACTCGAGTTGCTGCCTGTGGCGTCTAACTGTGCGTAGTAGGCCCTCGATAAATGGTTAAAGCAGTGAAAGCTTGGAACTTTGCGGGAATCTTAGAATCTCAGGACACAGCTATCCCCTTTCTCTTTAGTGAAATCCCTCACCAAGTGTGGCAGCAGGTAAAGCTAATGTTCTGGAACGGCGTTCTTTGCGGGACTGCGCGGGTGATAGCCCCGGGCGTCCTTTCACCCAGCGCGGGAGGGGACCCGCTTATCCACCTCGTCAGGCAGAGCTCCCAGGCCTGCTGGGTCTGGCAAAGTGGAGAGGTGTCCAGGGATGTCTGACGAGTGAAGGGGTGCCGGGGCAGGGGAGATGTCAGCGCGCCAGAAGTGTGGCGGCGAGGGATGACCAGGAACGTGGTGTCCCTGATGCGCCGCTCCTCAGGAAGGGATCCGAGAGCAGACAGCCAAAGCTGGGGCTGTCGTTGGAAACCGACTCGGCCTCTTCCTGGCTCTTGGCAAGTTTCTCACCTTCTCTAAGGCCTCCGTTTACCTTTTTGAAAATAGGAGCAGAGGTCGTATGCGATTCACAGTGCTCTGGAGAGAATGAAATAAGGGACAAAAGCACTTAGACTTGTCTCTGTCGCCATAGCAAGTCCTCCAAACATTTCTAACCATCTCTAATCCATTCATCTTTCCATCTGTCATTGCCTACCGTACATCTATCGTTTATCTATTATCCATCCACCTATGTATCTAGCTGTCTCCTGACCTAGAGGGAAACGACAACCAGTCCTGGACTGGGACCCATTCACACAGAACGAGTCCCAGGGCGGTAGAGCGAACGACAGCTCCCCAGTTCGTTTTTTTTGGGGTGCGGTGGAGCCGCCCGGCCCTTCCGAAGCACGGGCCACCCGGCATCGCCCATTTTGGTCGCTAGAGGGCAGCGCTCTCCTGCTTAGGTTTGGGCGCGCAAAAATCGGGTCTCTATGTCTGGGCCAGTCTCACCTCGCTGGCTCCGGACAGCGGACCCGGAGCGGCCGCGGAGCTGCCTCCTCGGCCGGGGCAGCCCTACAGCAGGACCGGAAAGCAGATGCTGGCGATGGGGAGGCGGAACGTTCCACATAGCTTTAAGGAGCCAGCTGACCTCTTACCGGAAAAGCACAAGTTTCCCTTGACTTTTTAGGCTCTTTACCTAAGGGTAGGGGAGCGCTGGTGGCGCAGTGGTTAAAAGCTCAGGCTGCTAACCAAAAGGTCGGCAGTTCAAATCCACCAGCAGCTCCTTGGAAACCCTATGGGGCAGTTCTACTTTGTCCTATAGGGTAACTATGAGTCGAAATCTACTCCACGGCCTACGGTTTGGTTTGGTTTTTATCCTTACCGTCTCGCCAACAGAAACGAAAGTTCCCATATGTCCTCTGTCTTCACTTAAAGGAGATCTCTCCCTGTTGCTTTTGTTTGTGAAGGAAGCTGACTTCCCTTGCAGTATTCTGTGCAAAACTCCTGCCTAACAAAAACTTGTGTTATCTAAGACATCTGGATTCACCCAAGATCTGCCTCCTCGTCATCAGGGCAGGAGGACGTGTGTGGAAAACGACAAGGGCACACAGTGCTTCTTAGGGCACAAGGTGCTAGTACACGGAAGACTCTTTAGGATCTTGAAAAAGTAGCAGCTTATGTCTGGAAGGACTTTAGGGATAATTCAGTTCAGCCCCTCATTTTATAGATGGAGAAACTGAAGCTCAGAATGCCCGAATGACCCGCTCAGTCAGTGGTCAAACCAGATTTACCGACACCTCTCTAGGGAGGCTCCCTGGCACCTACCTCAGTACTAGTTTGTTTCCGTTGGAAAAATTAACGTCTGTTCTGAGTTAGTTTCCCTTGGTGGGTCTGTATTATTCTCTGCCACACTTTAAATGTCAGGGGAGAGAGGAAGAGATGGGAAGAGAGGATGCCCCCTAGGAGTAGTGAAAGGGTACTTAATCCTCCAGACTGCCCTATGCTTGGGATGTCACTCCCTTTACCACCTTTGCCAAGTCCAACTCACGGCAACCCCATGTGTTACAGAAAAGAATTGCTCCATAAGGTCTTCTTGGCTGTACTCTTTATGGAAGCAGATTGCCAGGTCTTTCTTCCATGGTACTGCTGAGTGGGTTTGAACCACCAACCTTTCAGTTAGTAGCTGAGAGCAAACCATTTGTGCCACCCAGGAACCTGCTTGGAATGTAGTAGGTGCTTAATCAATGTGTGTTGACAGGCCTGAACAAATGAATGAATGAATTAGTGAAACAATGAGAGGTGGACATTGTCTGTTGTACCCCACTCACTGACATTTTTTCCCATCACCTTCCCCCTGGAAACTAAAACTGACAGAATTCTATACTTATTTCTTTATATGCGAATGGTGGCGTTGAGTTGTGAGCAAATTGCCTTTTCACAATCCTTTAAATATTTGTGGAGAATAAATAGATTTTTAGTTATATTCAGGGAAAAAGCTGTTTCAGAAATCTAAAAAAAAAAAAGGGGGGGGGGAAGGGAAACATGTCTTCAAGCATTTAATCCAAAGAATTCTGCTTCTCAGGCCAGGATCAAGACCTCACCTTCTGATTCTAGGGTGCCAGGCATTAGACAAAAAGGATCTTGCGAGAGACCAAGGAATGTGACTTTGGAAGCCCTGATGATGAGTGGTGTTTTACTCAGTTCTTAGGGGTTCCAGGTGTTATATCACAAGGGGTTTAAGAAAGTCCTGCTCTTGTCCTCTTCCAACATTTCCAGGATGGAGATGCCTAAACTGAACAACGCTTTCAGGATCCGATTCTCTCCTCCCCGCCGCTCCAACTACCCAAACACACATGCTTTATTACAGAACTCTATCTCTTTGCCCTCTCTGCAAAATAGCAGCAGTGGAAACAAGGCAGTTCTGCACTCTGGTGATTGTTTAATGTTCCTGAATAAAAGCATCATGTTCTAACATTTCAGATGTTTGGAGTCGCCAGCAGCAGGGGAAACTTGCCTGTTTTCAGTTACAATGGAAAGCACGGGATTTGCAAAACTGGATTCTGTGAGCTGGGCACGTGACCGTGGAGGGTCACTGCGGAGGGACTCTTTTCCAGCCTGACTCAGAATCCCACAACAGAGAAGCTCCAGTGCAGTTGGCTTGACTGAGATGTTTTTATGGAGTGTTAAATCCCCGCTATAAAAAAAGCAAGTGCTTGTACATTCTCATTTTCAAAAATCCAGGAAATGTAATAAACCCCTTGGAAGAAAAAATAACCTAGTATAGTATCCTAAAAGGAGTTTAAATAATAGAAAATGTGTCAATGTGTTGAGAGATAGAGAGAGAGAGAGAGAAACAACCAGGAAGGAAAACTAAACTAGGCCTATGAGACGTACTGTTCATATATTGTAAATGTAAAGAGAATTGAAATACATTTCCTAAAATTGGCCTAAAGTTCTCAGACAGGGAAAAGATGAATTTTATCATTAAACATAGGTAATTAGGCTACATGGAGCCCTAGTGGCGTAGTGGTAAGAGCTCCTCTGCATTTCGAATCCACCAGCGACTTCCTGAAAACCCTATAGGGCAGTTTTACCCTGTCCTATAGGGTCAATATGAGTTGTAAATGACTCTACGGCAACGGGTTTTCGTTTAATTAGTCCATGAATAAAACATGTTATATTATGATTCATTGGATTAAAAGATGTAGCTGTGAATACAGCCAACAAAGGGATTTTCAAGCAGCTTAACTTAAAAAAAAAATGACTTCTGGAATTGCCTTGAAGCAATTTAATAGTCACACCAGAAAACCAGTCAAGTTAAAAAATTGTATTGCCT